AGATTAAAAATATTGATTACTGACTAACCTTTTTTTAAAATAAAAATCTGTTAACTAATCTAAATGTTACTTAATTAAGTGGCAAAAGAACTCATCGCAAAAGATAAGCTAAGTAACAAGCTCATCACCTAAAAACCAAAAACATTTTTGAATATTGCTGATGCTAAGACAGCCATATCGATTCATTCACCCAAAGAAATTTTGACTACAACTGATTGCTATAATCCCCTTAGTATTGCAGCATTGAAGATGGCGAGAAGACGAAACTGGCCTTAAAAACCAAAATGCTAAGAAACCATTATACATATAAATATGAAATTAGGAATGTTTCTATTTCAAAGCAAAATGTAAATATTTCCTAGCATAATTTTGTGAAGGTTAGTCGAGCAAGAAGCACATAAATATATTACTTGTCTAATATTTTAATAAAATTTCACTTGGTATACTTCAACGGTGCTTTCTAAGAAATGTCAAAATATCCCGTTTTCGGGAGTGATAAACTTAATTTTGATTTAAATCGAAACGTTTTCAATTGTCAGACACAAAGAGATTTTTCTTTGTTCTTTTTAAGATTAACTAGATCAAAGTGGTTTATATTGCTCCATTAATGAATGGAAATTGAAACAAACAGCGGCCAGTTTACAGTTTTGGGATTGGGAATTAATTGTTTCACTCTCTAACTACACTGACTTCCTTACCAATTTATAGACTTGAAATTTTCTAACGTCTAGGAAAGCATATAAGGAGCATAAGCATCTAGATCGAACCATTATATATATTATAATTAATTACAGAAATAAGTACTTTTAGTTTCCAGGCAACTTATACTAGTATAAATCAGAAAGAAATTGCGTGACGTATTCAACTTAAAAAAAATACCATGGATGTTTCTTTCATTTTTATTGGAAGGTGTAACGTACATTGAAAATTAATTGAATTATTAAGTAAATTATTTTTCTATTATATATCGTTAATTACACATGATTATAAAGGTGAACACACAGATCGGCGCAGGTGTTTTCATTAAAATTTGTCTCTCCGATAAATTGCATCATTTTAGCAATACCATATAATTTTGGCGGATTAGCTAATTCGGTATAGTGAAGGACAAAGGATGATTCCTTGCGTATGGATAGTAGATTGGTGAAACTTTGCCCCATCGAGGTTATACCCAAGAATTTTTGCAGTATGTCAATCATTGTACTAACTATTAACTATCAAAATTTGATCAGGGATTAAAGCAGGGTAAAGCTAGACAAGAAAAACCACCAATGGTCATGGTTAAGTGCCGAAACGCCCGACAATTGAAATTGTATAAAAAGGAATTCTTTTAAAATTAATAACGCACAAACTTACGGCTGAAAATAGCGAAATTCTGAAACGCGTCTGATTTACAAAAAATAGGCGGACCAGGATGACCAGAGGGGACTAAACTAAGAGATAATCACTTCATAAATCCAAACTGTGAAATAATAATAGTCTACTGAAAACAGCGAAATACAGTAACGCCACCAGACTAAACCAGCGAGGATAGGCGAATGATGAGGATCAGAAACGTTTTCATTCGGCAGACTTCAACTTTTAATATTACTGGTATAATAATAAGATTGTATTTTAGTAGATAAGGATTAAAAGCAGGGTGAGGCAAGTCAACCAAACTAATGAAGACAATGACATGCCGAAACGCGTCTGATAGCTCAACTCAGCGAGGATAGAAAGACCAAATTGACCGGTAACGACCAAATTACAGGTTCATCACCCGCAGACAAGATGAACAAATTTCTCATTATATTTTGTAGTTCAATCATTTCCGGTCAACGAGGTCTGCCTATCTTCCCGGTTTTAGCATTTCGCTCTCTTCCGTGGTCGGTCAGGATTGTAAGAACGGTGAGTTAAAGATACAAACCTCCGCAAAGTTGTGAGGTTGCCTTACAGACTAGAATAAACGGAAACTACCAAACTACTAGTTTAGTTTATTAGTTGATAGACTATACAACTGAAAAACACCGTTTTGTTAACTTCATCTTAATAATGTAGGACCTTGTGAAATTAAAAAAGTTTTAAGTCACCATCTTCAGTGGTCGGTGAGAACTTAAAAAAAAGAAATTTTATGAAAAAAGAAGAAGAAAAGACTAGAAAAAGAACTCTTAAGAAGAAATTTTGCAATTTTTGAAAAATTTGTTTCGCTCCAACTCGCTAATAGTCCTGATTGAACACTGAAGATGTCTGATGATATGAAACGACTTGTTTATAATCTGCCCCTTGAAAATTTGTCCAGCATTTGACTGCAAAAACTGCAGCCGTTTAATACATAAAAAGTCTTGAGTCGCCTTGGGTTTGGTTAAGGGATATAAGCAGGGCGAAGCATCAAACTCACCAACGTAAATGCATACCAAGTAAAATCTCCCCTTTGTCTTGAAACATATTTACCTTGTTTAATAACAAAAATGTTTCGTCATCTCTACATCTCCATATAAGAAATATTCGGTCAGACAAAAATGATAAAGACGAGTGAGATCGTAAAAGACCTAACTGCAGGTTATTGTTATTCAGTACAAGTCAGTGTAAACTAAAAAATACAACCATCTTTGTCGTAATGACTGCTCCCTTATTTAATATTAAATACTTAAATTTAAGTGTATGAATATTTTGAAGTTGTCCGTACAATTAGTGTTGTAACTAACGCAAAATAGAATCAAATGAGTAGAATATGAAGAATTTGTAATTTATTGTGAAATTAATTTGACATTATTGATGATAGCTGCTTCTTCCAAGCTTGTTCAGGGTCAAGGTACACAACAATCCTATCAAAGATGGCGTTTGTGCTAAATATTTTGTCAGATGTGACGTTAAAATACGTTTGTAAAGTGTGAAGAGGTTTGTTGGCAATGGAAAACCCCAAACCGCGTTAGTTGTCTTGCCTCGCCCTGCTTATACCCTTGACCGACCATTGACATAAGCTAAATGCAAGTTTTTCAGTCGAAGTGATCAACCGTCACCCTGACACTTCGTAAACTTTTCAAGATAACGTCGATGTCGGATATAAAATGTTGTTAGCCGTTCTTGCATGAACTAATGAAATGGTCTCAGCGGAACGAAATGACGTACAATTTGGCGGAATAAATGTCAGTCACTTGAGCGAGTTTTATTAAGCAATCGGATTAATTAGGAGGATCATAAAAATAAGACCAAATCTTACTTCCACTGTTGAACCAAGCAGCTTTGCCATTTGTCATAAATGCAATTTTCAAAAATAATACTTGCCAGTGTTAGTCTACTCATACAAGGCATATTTAGCAGTTAATGGGTACATTTGACCTCTAATTTTGCTACATGACTGGTTAACCCTTAAAAACTGGTTTCCTGGGACTTTTGGCACAAAGTGTCTCAATAATCAGAAAAACGTTAGTACTGACTATTGATTTATGTAGTGTTCCTTAATATGTCCAAATCTAGGGGTTAATTAATTTTTTAACATATACTTTTCACCTTGCAAAATATTCTCAATTAGAAAATTCTATGATCTCTAAATGGCACGACTACTGTCGAGAATAAGGTCCTCTAGAACACTTCCAGGTTTGTTTTCATTCACCTTTCCTTAGGATCTGTTAAATAAACAGTTTCTACTTCAATTTATCTTTTTTTATGGTTTTTTGTAATATTTCTGAATATATCCCACAATAACGTTGTTTTATGAGCAAAAGTTTGAGAATTCCCGGTTTTATACTTGTTTGACTTGTTAAAAGTCAACACAATAAAATCGTATATACTCTTTTATAGAAAATCTTTATCGGTTTTTGAAATTTTATTAAATACTATTTATAATTAACAAAAAAAATTGCCAGAGTCGTATAGTGTAATTTGGCTACTTGTTTTGTGCCAAAGCGACATTACTGTCCAACCTCTGTCAGTGTGTCGATAAAAATTTTCAGAAGGCGAATTTAAACTTCTCTTTTCAGGATTTGAAAGTAGTTTATTTCCAATATTGGCCTAAAATATGCTCCAGAAAAGCATATTTATCCTTAACTTCAATATCCGTGGGCATAACATATTTTTTACTGATTTTCCCGGTGTACCACTACACTTTTTGGATAGTTTATTACAGCTTATCAAAAATTGAGCCTTTGATAAATGTTTGGATACAAATATCACTTTAGATCCAGGGAGAAAAATTTGTAAACTCGATCCTTCTAGTCTTGCACAAAGGTCGTACAAACGTCTTATCTCTTTGTTTATTCTAAAAATAAAAATAAAACGACGTATGATTAATTATTGACTGAATGCCTTTTTCTTCACCACTGCTAGCAAACCGAATAAAACGACGATTTTTTACTTCTAAAAAAAATATATATATATATTTAAACTATATATATATAACTATATATATATATAGTTTAAACTGAAGTATTCGTCCCTCCTCATCCGTCATTCCCCAAAATCAGGTTCAAGTTTGTTGATGCTTTTGGAAAAGTCAAAAAATCTGAAAATGTTGCAAGGTATGGCGTTTCAAGTGTGCTTAATTAAAACAATTATCCTTGTAAACCGTGATAAAATTATTCATAAACTGTATCTAAGCTGGATTGGAACAATGTGATAACCATTGGTAAATTTATTCAATTTAAATTAGCCATTTGTTGGTTTGTTTTATGTTAGAATTGACGTGCGTACCCGCCCCACGCGACACGACAGTCATTTTTTTAACTGTAGTCCGTTCTGACTCATTTTCAATATGGATACTGTTCATGTCCATAGTTGTATGTCTATTCGGGCAGGGTCGGTTGCAGCTTAACCTCACGATGGATAAGGTCTCCGGAGCTGCTAAACCCAAGCAACAGGTCAAGCCTACCCGGAAGGCTTTATCGTTGTTACAAGTTCTCTATTACGACATAGTATACTGAACTGCGACATACAGTCCGTTGATGTATATTTCATAAGCACACTAGAGTTGAATTCGATATAGAATGCATTTATTTATTATTAAAGGGTGAAATGTATTTTACCTGGCTGGAGGACGGAAGGGATGGAACTGGATCGTCTTCTTGGACTACATCGGCTGCAAATTCTTGAATATGTTGGTCCCTAGTTGTCATGACAACTTTAGGCCATAGCGGCCGAATCAGTGGGTACGGTCAAGTCTGACTGGCAGCCAAGGTGGAAGCAACAGGCTTGTCTAGGGCCGCCGAACTCAGCCGAACTTCCACATGACCCCGTCACGTATGCCGTTCGCGACGGTCCCGATCGCAGTCCGGATATGCTGGAAATCGGGCTGATATGCGTCCGCGTTCCTCTGCGTATTTTGGGAATTTGGGCCGTGGGGGTGCGTGCGACAGGGATCTATAGACGGGGGATGCACTGCACGGAGCTTCAGGTGAACGTCGGGAGCGGTCGGCAATCCTCGGCCATGCCGCCCAACACCCGAATCATCGATCCGAGAAAATGGGTCAGAATACGGTCTACTATTGGGCCATTAACATGTTTATGGTGACCTTTGATCTTAGCACATGAAAGAAAATCTATATTAGCAAATTTATGATTGTTGCCGTTTTAATTAGCTCATTCTCATGTTGAAAATCCCCTTTGAAATAGCCTCTCCCGGCTCGCTGGAACTTACGGACCGATGACACTCCTTTCCGATCTATAATAAAACGCCTCACAGGCTAATCCTTTAAAATATAATCTTCTATAAATATATACCTACTAAATTTCTCAATTAATGACAGAAAATTTACTTCTTAAAATCATATTTCTATTATAACAAACACTTTTTGCTTTAATTTATCATTTCAGATAACTGGACTGTTATTAAATCAAGCATATGACAGTTTTCTTTGTAAAACTGGATTAGCAATACGAGATAAATCATATAGAGATATTTTGACAGTTGTTTGAATGAACGACAAAATTTTATATCGAAAACCAAAAATATCCGTGAACAGTACAACCTTTCACCTCAGTCTCGAAAGGATTTAGATAATCTATAATCCTAATAGATAATCTATATATACAAACCACGTTTGAAGGAAAACTTGCATTTATTTAAGCAAAATAATTTACCTTTAGAAAACATAGGGGGTTTGTTATCTATGTTACATGTTTATTTGCTAAACTGCAATACATTTCAAATTCAATTCATCATTACAACATTTAACATCATTTACATACAACATTTTCAACAATAGATATGAATAATCAGCCCTCCAAATAAAGGATTATCCAGGAAGAAGTATATAATATATTTATAATTAATTTACCTGTTCTGTCGGAAGTTAATATTGTATATTTTTAATATATGTTACATTACTGCCAACAAAAAAGCAACAACAGTGTTATTAAAAGTGCTCTTTTCATTATCGGATATCAAAATTCAATGAAATCATTAAAACTGTTAGGAAAAAGTACGAAACGGCTTGGACGATGACAATGGACCGGGTAGTTTCGTGCTATTCAACCTACTTAAAGTCCAAATAAAAAATAACGCGTTATTTTATCAATAACGAAATACCGTAAAACAATTTTTTTCATTTATTTATATCTACCAGTGCATATGTATTATATACAACAATTATTCCGAAATCGTGAGATGCGGTCTGGTGTGATGTAGGTGTCAGAAAAACATTTTCTTTATCGTGCCAACGTTTCGATCTTTATTGAGATCATCTTCAGGGCTTGGGATTTACAAACATTGTTTACATTTAACAAATACATGTAGGATGTGGAAGAAAGTGAATTTATACAATGCTAAATATATTTTTTTAATATTCAATCAAAGTATTTCTACTCACTCAAAGTGTGAGAACTTTGAGTGAGTAGAAATACTTTGATTGAATATAAAAAATTAAAAAATATTTTGCATTGTATAAATTCACTTTTTTCCACATCCTACATGTATTTGTTAAATGTAAACAATGTTTGTAAATCCCAGGCCCTGAAGATGATCTTAATAAAGATCGAAACGTTGGCACGATAAAGAAAAGTTTTTCTGAAACCGACATCACACCAGACCGCAATTTCGGAATAATTATTGATTAACGGTCACTAATAATCACCACACATTATGTACAACCAGCAGATTTTATTTTAATTTGTGAGTGTGACATTGCTCTCTGCAAGACCACACATAGGCCTCGGACCTATACTTGGGATAAGAAAAATAAACATAGAATCCCCCATCGCCGAATGGATCCAAACAAGACAAAAGGAGAAGTGGATAAACTCTAGTGGCGTTACACACAGTAAACTTACGATGAAACGCAGTGGCAGACTGGCAAAATCAATGCTGCAATTGGAGAGGGCTAAACTAAGAGGAATGGTAAGGCTACTAACCGGTCACTGCATCTGAGAAAACATCTGCACAACATGGGCATATACAACGATGATCTCATCTGTGTAATGAGGAGGGAGGAAACAGCCACCCATATCATCTTCGAATGCGAAGCAACAGCTCAATGGAGATTTAACCTAACATACAGAAAAAAATCTAGGAAATAAAATTGTATCAGCGACAGTCAATGGCCTGATACTTCTAATGAGAAGAAAAGAGTCTATTGCTCTGAACTTAGGGATGTAGGAAGGTACAATAAACCAGAAGGCTGCAGTGCCTGGGGAGCACAAACCCCGCTTCCTAGTATCCATTATTACCATACCGTATAGGGAAGATAAAACTACAATACATTTTAAATTCAATTCATCGTTACATCATTTAACATTATTGACACACAACGTTTTCAACTTATGTTAATACTATATGAATACTCAGTTCTCCAAGTAAAAGATTATCCAGGAAGAAGTATAATACATTTATAATTAATTTACCTGTTCTGTCGGAAGCTAATATTTTTAATATACACTATATTACTGAAAATAAAAAGGCAACAAATGTTTTATTAAAAGTGCTCTTTTCATTATCAGATATCAAAGTTCAATGAAATCTTTTAAACTTGAAGGGAGAAGTACGGCTAGTTTCTAGCTATTTCAACCTACTTAACGACCAAATAAAAAATAACGGGTTATTTTATCAATAACGAAATACCAAAAACATTTTTTACATCTACCACTGTAGGCATTACTGGAGTCAGAGTTGGCTACCCATTGGCAGCTCGATTAATCATTCAAGAGGTCTCTGATCCATATCCTCTTCAATCGAGTACGGGATAATTGTGGAGAATGGATTAATCTTATTTGGGTTGACAATTAATTAAGGTTTTTAGTTGAGATGAAAAAAAGTTAATGGCACGAGAGGGATTCGAACCCACGGCCATTTCAATTGTCGTCGAGAATCCAAACCGATTACACGACATTTGAAAAATGGCAGAAGGAGGGAAAACTCATAAGGTGGGGTTGAGATGGGGAGTTGATGTCCGAGTGGATCGAGGTTACGATAGCTCAGGTGGTAGAGCAGCGGCGTATCTAGCCGAAGGTCGTGGGTTCGAATCCCTCTCGTGCCATTAACTTTTTTCATCTCAACTAAAAACCTTAATTAATTGTCATGTATTAATTGGTCAAGCGGACCACGAAAGTAGTGAATTACTTATTTGGGTTATTGTGATTTAATATGAAAGCATAGTGTTCAAAAGTATGTTCTTGTTTACATATTGTAAAAAAGGTCAGAAGCAATAAATAGTAAAATCTTTTTTGAAAAGATTGTAATCTTTGAATATTGGAATATTTGGCTGATCCGTATATTTGCCATCCTTACATCCAAGTGAGTTTGTGTAAATATGTGTATGTCTAAAGTTTTTATTTTAATGGCAATTCTGATCGCCAGTTCACTATGTAGTAAAGCATTTTAAATTGTTTTTTAAATGTCTGTATTTTTTAATCATGTGTGCGGGTGGGTCCATGTTATTTTATCAAACAGAATGAACTGATATATAATAACATTGAAACACAGCACAATTATAACTTTAAAAAACCCGAATCCCAGGGCCCATTGGCAAGAACGCTCGTTGAGTCTAACATTTTTTGACCTAGTACTACCAAATAGAGTTTCATTAAACTCGTTCATCTCTTGTTAGCAGTAATGGACAAAATTGACTAGTGTTATTTTCATTACGCTGATTGAACAAAACAAAAGAAATTTAATTTTGATCCTCACGCACACAGGGTCCAACTATATTTGCAGAGAATAGAAAATATGTTCTACAGTGAAACCTCTTCCTCAGGAGCAGTCATCGTGTCACTCTTTCGTTTTCTTTCAGGATGTGTCTTCTAAAGGGAGTTTTATCATCTGATGACAATTAGCAGTGTGTATATGCAAGTGTACAGATACTATTTGTGAGGTTTAGATTCAGATGTTTATTTTCAACGACTGTACGATCTTGAAAATTTCCTTTCCGCAGTTTGATAAGCTTTATTTTACCCGCTAATGTTCTAAAATCAAACTTCGTAAGGATCAAGATCAAAAGATTCTATCTTTTAAAGTGACTAAGAAAATTTAAAAACTAAACTGGCCTATCTCTTACCCATAATCTTTCTGTGCTGTTACAAACTGTAGAACGATTGATTGTAGGCCGGCACGACAGATTCTTTGTTCTTTATTTAAAATGTCTCTAAGCAAAAATGTTAATTACATAGTCAATTTCCTTAAAAATTTGAAATGTTACTTTTCTACTCACGAATACTCTGGATCACGGTTTGGTCTTTGTGAAAAAGGAAATTAGGTTGACATATTTTTAATTCTGAGCAAACAGCAAATTTCCTTTTTTGCTATTAAAATTCTAAGGGCATTGAAGAGTGCATAAACGGAACAGAATTGTTTTTGTCAAAAATAAATTTTCCCGCCCTACTTTACTGGAAACTTTTGTTTTTGAAACTTTTATGCATAAAATGTGTATTTACATGATTCTGCTTATTATTTTCTTATTCTACATTGCAAAACAAATCGACTGATATATGTTACTCTTGAAATACATGAAAACACAGTCTCCTAGGGCTCCATTGGTAAGATCGCCGGACGCATGTCTTATATTTTTCGGCCTAGTATCTATTAAACAATTTCATTAAAATAAATTATCTTATCTCCGTAGCTTCCGAACTAACTAGCTTGGAAAATCCTCATTGTACTTGAAAACCCTCCAGTCAATATATCAATGTCTATCACTTTAAGCCATGTGACAGAATATGTAAACACGTTTCAATTTCTAAAAATCAAGAATTTCTGCTCACTAATGTATCATTTTGTTGTTTGGTTCCGGCTAGCAGAATTTCATAAACTCGGCATACTTAATTCTTCTATTTTTTAAAATTAGTTTTAATAGCTGCTACATTACGTAACAACTCAAGGAAGTTTTTCCGGAACCGTTGAACTTTCTGAATCGTTTAATATCCTATATATTATTTTCGTATTTTAGGCTAATATTTTTAGAAAAAAACACAAATCAGATGAGATATAATAAATAACTTTGAAATATATGC